CACAGGGACCTCAAAACAGGGCCACAGGGACCTCAAAACAGGACACAGAGACCTCAAAACAGGACACAGAGACCTCAAAACAGGACCACAGAGACCTCAAAACAGGACACAGAGACCTCAAAACAGGACCACAGGGACCTCAAAACAGGACACAGGGACCTCAAAACAGGACACAGAGACCTCAAAACAGGGCCACAGGGACCTCAAAACAGGACACAGGGACCTCAAAACAGGACACAGAGACCTCAAAACAGGACCACAGGGACCTCAAAACAGGACACAGGGACCTCAAAACAGGACCACAGGGACCTCAAAACAGGACACAGAGACCTCAAAACAGGGCCACAGGGACCTCAAAACAGGACACAGGGACCTCAAAACAGGACCCAGAGACCTCAAAACAGGACCACAGGGACCTCAAAACAGGACCACAGGGACCTCAAAACAGGACACAGAGACCTCAAAACAGGACCACAGGGACCTCAAAACAGGACCACAGGGACCTCAAAACAGGACCACAGGGACCTCAAAACAGGGTCACAGGGACCTCAAAACACAGGGACCTCAAAACAGGACCACAGGGACCTCAAAACAGGACGACAGGGACCTCAAAACAGGACCACAGGGACCTCAAACAGGACCACAGGGACCTCAAAACAGGACCCAGAGGCCTCAAAACAGGACACAGGGACCTCAAAACAGGACACAGAGACCTCAAAACAGGACCACAGAGACCTCAAAACAGGACCACAGGGACCTCAAAACAGGACACAGGGACCTCAAAACAGGACCCAGAGACCTCAAAACAGGACCACAGGGACCTCAAAACAGGGCACAGGGACCTCAAAACAGGACACAGAGACCTCAAAACAGGACACAGAGACCTCAAAACAGGACACAGAGACCTCAAAACAGGACACAGAGACCTCAAAACAGGACACAGAGACCTCAAAACAGGACACAGGGACCTCAAAACAGGACCACAGGGACCTCAAAACAGGACCACAGGGACCTCAAAACAGGACCACAGGGACCTCAAAACAGGACACAGGGACCTCAAAACAGGACCACAGGGACCTCAAAACAGGGCCACAGGGACCTCAAAACAGGACCACAGAGACCTCAAAACAGGACCACCGGGACCCCAAAACAGGGCCACAGGGACCTCCATACAGGGCCATAGGGACCTGAAAACAGGACACAGTGACCTCAAAACAGCACCACAGGGACCTGAAAACAGGGCCACAGGCAGTAATAGCTTGGAGCAAGGGGCCCGGGATGTGGCTCCATGGCTAAGCTTGCCTGGCTCAAGCAAAGGCCTTAAATCAATCCCTAGCTCCACAAAAAGCAGACTGGAGGTCACTGTCCACTGCAAGCACATCAGAGAGGGGACTCCAGGTCAGCGAGGGAAACACAGAGTCCCAGCTGACGGCCAGCAAGGGAGGTAGACGGTCACTCCCAGAAGGCATAAGTGCCCAGGCCACCAGCCACCAGAGAAAAACAAATCTACTTTTGGCCCACTGAGCCGGGCAGCGAGGTGGGTCAGTGCTGACCCAAGCACATGAGAGTCTTCTGGAATGCTCTGCACCTTGCCGTGATAATCACCTGCCAAGGGTGGGATCTGAAGAACCAAGCCCTCCCAGGGCGATTTAACACAGAAGAAAAGGTGGATACAGGCGTCAATCAGTGTGTACTTGGCGACCTAGTAACAGTCCACTGCAGCTGTGTTTTCACAGAACCTGTGGAGGAGCCATCAGAACGTCATTTTCGGTGAAAAAAATAATACAACCAACTTTCGCATAAGATGGGATGATTTTTTAAATTTCCTTTTTACATTTTTCAAAGTTTCTACAATGAACAAGGACCACATTTATAGTCAGAAAAACAGAGGAGCCGAGCCAGTGTTATTTTGACAGGACACAGTTCTGCATGTCCACAGAGAGGGCAGGAGATGGCAGGCGTCATTGGCCAGGAGCTGGCTGGGTGGGCTTCAGGAATGCTCTGGGCCAAGGGTGAGGCTATGCTGGGGGATAAGCATTCAAATAAAAGTCAGCATTCCTAAACGGGTTCATCTGTGCCCACTGCAAAGGTAGGGAAGAAGCCCAGAGCTGAAGGACATTTCCTCAGCAGGGCCAACGCAGCAGTGTCCACAAGGACAATGTCCTGCCTCCCTGGGGTCTAGCTGAAGCTATGGGGAACACCTGAGCTTCTCCCGCCTGGGCCCTCACTCCCAGGCTCCAGCAGTCTGTCTCTGGGCTATGTTGGTCCTCCTAGCTGGACAGCCCTGTCCTTCCACCTGGACGCTGTCTTCTACCTGACCAGAACCCACAGTCCTAGGGCCCGGGGCATCTGGCCTTGTGCAGGTGGGTCCTGTGCCCTAGCTCCACGCACCTCCTTCATCTTCATCTGTAGCACACGAAATCCAGGCTCAGGCATGGCACCAGGAGCCCGTGAGGGCAGGGCCTGACTGTTGCCCCGTCTCAGCTTTCCTGCCACACACCACAGGGGTTGCAGGGGCCCTTGCTGGACAATTGGGGCCCAGGGTCAAATGTGGACTGCAGTGGGACCGGCCGAATGCAGGCAGAGCCAGAAGCCATCAGCCCTTCCAGGCACTGAGCTGAAGCAGGCACAGAAATGGCGGGGAGGACAGGTTGGGGACCACACCAGGGCCTGCGAGGCTGCACAGCTGGCCCCACAGCCGGCCTCACGGCCTCCTGTTTGCCTTCCAGTGGTCTCTGCCTGTGCGCAACTGGTTGCTCAGGCCTTTTTGCCCACAGCTTGTCAGCCCCATGTTGGGTGAAGACAGGCCACGTCCATCTAGCTCCTCCGTGGGTCTCCAGTGCTGGCTCAGCCCCTGAGAGCATGTGGAAATGGTGAGTGAGTGAATGACCCCTGTGCAGTCCTGCTGTGGATGCCAGCCTGGCCAGCCTGATTACCAGCTCCTTCCAATACAGCGCTGGGCTTGGGGCCCTGCTGACCAAGGCCCCGAGCCCAATGCAAAGCTGTCCTGACCACCTCGCCACCTCTCCTGTGCTTCGTCCTCAGACCCTCTGCACTTCCGGAAATGCTTCGGGAAGGCAGGACACCTGCTGAGCCACCCGTGGATTTTCTCTCCTTTCTGTGGCTGAGCTTTAGGACATGTACTGAGCTGAACAGGCCAGGATATGGACGTGAGCAGCCACGGGCAAGCAGAGTCTGATGGAGGTGTCCACTAGCTGTCACCCAGACAAACAGCAAAGGACAGGTCCAAAACCAAAAGCCCTCTTCTCCCGTGGCTCCAACTCAACCGTGTGGACGAGCACTTCGCCCACCTGGGGAAAAGCCGCAAAGTCAAGTCGTCCCACTAACGTGGCCGCCCCTCAAAAAGGCCTTTCAAAACCAGCAGAGGACCGAGTGCCAGGCCCCACTGCGGCCCTCCCACCATCCTGAGGCCAAGGCCTGGACACAACCCATGGTGGGCACCAGGCCCCACTGAGTGCCCACTGACCCAGCCACCGAGAGGGCCGCTCAGCTACAGAGGAAGCAGGACTTGTCCAGAGTAGCTTGGAGAGGAGAGTCAGAAGCAGGGACAGGTGGCAGTACTGGGCGTGGGAGGCGCTTTGCCAACCAGCAGGAGCTCGCAGCGTTGGGAGCAGTCACAGTTTTCCAAACAGTTCAGCATACAGTCACCACATGACCCACCACTCCCCACTCAGAGGGGCCCCCAGGGAGCAAAGACGCCACCCGACTCTCAGGGCAGCAGCACTCGCGGTGGAAATGGAAAAGGCACACCTTGTACTGTGAGTGGGGAAGCGAAGGTGGCCTTCCTGGCAGTGGACACTACTCAGCCATGAAAAGGAGCCAACAGTTGGGGCTACAACGCAGGCAAACCTTGACACCACTATGACTCCACCGATAATGCCCAGAGTGGGCAGTCTGCAGGGAGGGACCGGAGGACCCAGGGGCTGGGGCCATGCAGACGCAGATACTGCTGCCTAGAACCTGGCCCAGCCCCAGGGCGGTGGCGGGCACAGGGTCCTGGCCAGCTCTCACACACAGCATGGGGGACAGTACTGTGTACAGCCAGGAAGAAGCTTCCTTACCTTGGTCCCAAACCATGCCCCTGGTGTGGGGACCCTCCCCAAGACCTGCTTGCCTGCCTCTCACACAGGCTGCTCCCCGCCCTGGCCCTCATCTGGCCCCATCCTGCTGTGGGCCCTTTGCTGTCCTCCCAGCCTCCAGCACAGCCCTTCCTCTCCTTGCCTCCTCTGCCCACTTGCCTGGTGGCCCCCAGGACAGCCCCCCGTCCTGAGGCGGTGCCACCCAGCCATACCTGCACCTCCCAACACTCCAGAGAAGCAGGGCATGACCTTGCCCCAGGGTCGCTCTAGAACCTGCTGTGCTCAGGACAGACCTGGGGAAGAGGCCAGGGAAGCAGAGCCTCAGGCCTAAGGAATGAGCATTGCCAGGATCCCACAGACCCCAGTCCAGCCAGGGCCACCAGCCCCCGCCCCGCAGAGAGGGGAGGGGAGAGCCCAACCTCCCCCTCCAGAGGGCCTGCAAGCGAACCCAGGCAGGCTGAAGCCCTGAGAATGTTCACATTTGGTCAGCAAAGAGAGGTGGACAGTGTAAGCAGCCATGGCCAGCGGCCGTGGGCAGGCCATGAATGCCCCAGCACTCACCACTGCCCAGTCCACCTACTCATGGGTCACACCAGGGCAGAGATTGGCCCTGCCGCAAAAGAGCGGATCCAGGGCTTGGCACTGTGCCCATATCACCTGAGAGCCACCAGGAACATCAAGGTCAGGCCGGGGTGTCACCCTGGCTGATCAGCATCCTGTGGGTGCCTCAGGGCCAGCTACTCCCGGCCCCTCCTACACAGCCACACGCCTGGGCCTGGGCCAGCTCCTGCTGTGGTCTCCAGTCTCTGGTGGGAAACGCTCTGAGGCTCTGAGAATCCGGCGCAAGTCATGCTCCCAGTGAAGAGGACCGTCTGGTCCTGGAACAGAGCCAGCCCTTACCTGGAGCCTGGCCGGTGCTGGGGTTGGGCTTGGGTCCCATCTGCTGGCGGACTCTCCCTTCCGGGCGCAGAGGGCTTCCCAGGATCCCGCTCCCTGGCCTCCGGCTCCTCCTGCAGGCCCGTGGCCTGGCCCTCTGTGTGCGGCCTGCTTGCCGAGTCCTCCTGGGGGCCGGAGGTGTGTGCCAGGCACTTGCTAGAAGCCGAGGCCTTGCCCTCCTGTCTGTCGGCGGCGTCTTCCACTGGCAGGATGGCTTCAGGGGCAGGCTGGGCCTCGTCCAGTCCCTCGGGGCCCTTGTCGCTGGCCTTGGCCAAGCCTGTGGCAGGGTGCGAGGCACTGATGACGCTCCCTGGGCCACACTTCTCCCGCAGGTGCTCCACCGCATCCTCCCGGCCGTCCCCGCAGCTCCCACAGCACACGCAGGAATGGAGGAGGCAGCTGGTGGCCGCAGCGCTGAGTTTGTGGGAGCTTCCCCCAGCCCCCCGGGCCCCGGGCTCCAGTGGGGAAAGGCCGTGGCCTGGAGCTTCCTGGGTGGCCACTGCAGAGTCCAGGGAGGAGGGTGACTTGGGGTTGAAGATGACAGTGGCCGAGAGCTTCATGCCCCCCGTCCGGTGGGCGATCATCTCAGCCGTCTCGGCGTCATCTGCACTCACCTCCCAGCCGTCCAGGGACAGCTGCGAGTCCAGGCAGCTGCAGGTCGAGCTGGGCAGGGCGGCCAGCCTCCTGTGGTCACCCTCATTGTTGTTATTGCTCCAGTCCTCCCCCTTCACCACAGCAGGTTTGCTGACCCCCTCCTCCTCGCTCTGCCCGCCCTGCCGGCTCTCCTGGGGGCCGGTCCCAGCACTGTCTGCCCACCCAAACGGAGCACCTGGCGACTCCAGCCTGGCAGGGGCCTCCACCGCCTCCACGTCGTCCATGAAGAACACCCGCTCCTCCTCGTCACTGCCCGACTTCAGCCGCGCTCTGCCTGGAGAAGCCTCCCCTCGGGGGCTGCCCTCTGCCCCTGGCCTGTGTGCCGGGGACTGGCAGGCACTGGGTGGCGAGAGCAGAGATGACATCTCGTCCCCAGCCCGGTGGACCATGCGGCTGAGCGCCTCTAGCTCCTGGTCATCGTACTGCATGGAGCAGGCCAGCTCTGCCTCTGGGTTCCTGGCCTCGGCTGAGAGTGGCTCCTCAGGGGGAAGGGATGCGGGAAAAGCAGGTGCCAGGGCAGTGGGCACCGGGACGTCTGCCCGGATGGGGAGCTCCACGTCCTGGCAGACACAGAGGCTCCGCTCCAGGGTATGCAGTTCCTCCTCTGTCAGCGCCTGCAGCAAATCCCTGCAGGGAAAGAAGAAAACAGGCCTGAGGCCCTCCACAGCAGAGTCCTCCGCCAAGCAGGGACACAGGCCCCGCAGAAGGGGACCAGGCAGCCCAGCTGGCAGCGGAGTCCAGGACACCCAAGGGAACCGCCCAGGCTCTCCTCCATGCCTCACCCAGGAGCGCCCATGCTGGCTCTGAGACCTCTCACTGCAACAAGAAAGCCCTAATTCTTAGGAATGTGTTGACTGCATGAATACAATCCTCAAGGAGTGAAAAAAATATGTTGGCTCATATGTAGATTTTCACCCTTTTGTTTAACACGAATCACCCAGCTCCAACCACGTGCCAGGCTCTGGGTGCTGAGGTAGGCAGGGAGCGGCGAGTGTGTCCCTGCCCTCGTGGGGGCCCCTCAGTTGTGTGCGGCAGACAGTGAACAACCTTCTGTGCAGTGACTGGATCACAGTGGTGACAACAGGAGGGGAGGAAGGAGGGCTTCCTGGAGGAAGGGGCACCAAAGCTGGCACCAGGAGCTGCGGTCACCCTGGTGGCAGTGAAGGGTGAGCTTGGAGCAGGGCCTGCAGGCTGGTGCCTGTCATTTCCTGCTGGAGAAGTCCAGGCCACACCTGAGTTGAGCCCCCACTGACAATCCCAGTGGGCAAGGAACGCCACAGTGCTCAGGGGGTCCAGTTCAGGAGCCGACTGACCACCACGCCAAGAGAAGGGCGTTCAGACCAGAAGTAAAACACCAGCCAGTACCCCAGGCCCTCGCAGTCACCCCTTCACACTCACTAAAAAGGTGTTTGTAGTTAGTGTGACGTCCACGTTAGCTGGGGCCATGCCTCTGGTCCCCTGCTAGATACGGCAGCTCTCTGAAGGGAGGCCACACCACGAGGCACCTTGCTGTGGACACTCAGCCCCTCTCTTTTTTTTGAAGAGCGGTGCTGGGGATGGAACCCAGGGTCTTCCACATGCTGGGCAGGCCTCTACCACCGGGCTGCAGGGTCTCTGCTGTTTACCTCCCTGTGTCCGTGTTCGGGCTGCCGCGGCCTCTGCGGCTGACCACCTCTCTTGGGGAACTTGCATGTGCACTCCCCTCCTCCACACGGGAGGGGATGCCTGGACCACAGTTTGGGTGAGCATCTGGGACACAGAGCTCTGCCCGGCAGGCCCTCAGGACTCTTGATAGTTTTAATGGATCCTCTCCGGGGAGTGCACAATACACCTTATCGCAGACCCCAACCTGGTGGCTCATGAGGCTGAGCACTGTTGACACACGTGCCATCCCTTAGATATCCTCTGTGGGAAGTGCCTGTTCAAGTCTTTTACCCATTTTTATTGGGCTGTCTTCCTTAATGATGGATTGGAGATCTTACGTATTTTGGATGTGAGTTGTTATTGGATATATTCTTCACCTCTGTAGCTTGTCTTCTCATTCTCTTCATAGTATCTTTTGGTAAATCAGAGGTTTCAATTTTAATAAAGGCAATGTCACTTTTTTTTTTATGGTTAGCACTTTAGGGTCCTATTTAAGAAACAGGCACATGTTAGCACGTTTGTAACCCCAATGGCTCGGGAGGCTGAAGCAGGAGGACTGATTGCAAGTTTAAAGACCAGCCTCAGCAACTTAGCAAGGCTCTAAGTAACTTAGTGAGACCCTGTCTTCAAATAAAACATTTAAAAAGGTCTGGCAATGTGGCTCAGTGGTTAAGCACCCCTGGGTTAAATCTCTGGTAAAAAAAGAAAAAAAGAAAAGAAATTTTTGCCTAATCTGGGGCCACAAAGATGCTCTCCTTGATATCCTCTAAAAGCTCTAAAAAGCTCAAAAGCTGGGGTTGGGGTGGTGGCTCAGCGGTAGGGCATTGTCTAGCATGTGTGAGGCACTGGGTTCCATCCTCAGAACCACATAAAAATAAATAAAAATAAAATGAAAGTATTGTGTCCATCTACAAGTAAAAAGTATATTTTTTTAAAAAAATAGCTCTAGAAGCTGTTTTGCTGCCCATATTTATATCCGTACTGTGTCTAGCAGTGATCTTGCATGTGGCTGGGGTAGATCCAGAGATGAAGAAGTCCCTGGGACAAGCCGTGTTTTGGGAGACCTGCTGGCAGGTGAGCAGCCTGGAAGTGCCCAGCCTGCAGTGACACCAGTGTGAGCTGGGGACCCAGGACAGTCTCACCCAGGAGACAGGGGACACTGCTGAGCTTGTTTAGAAAACAAAGACAAGGCTCCTGGGGTGTGGTGCACGTTGTCCTAAATGAGGGGACTTCTGGAGGATTTCACATACAGAAGGGTTTTCAATAATGAATTCAATGTTCTTAACATATATTGTTCTTTTTTTAAAAAAATTTTTTTTGAGAGGAGAGAGAGAGAGAAGAGAGAGAATTTTAATATTTTTATTTTTTAGTTTTCGGCGGACACAACATCTTTGTTTGTATGTGGTGCTGAGGATCGAACCCGGGCCACACACATGCCAGGCGAGCGCGCTACTGCTTGAGCCACATCCCCAGCCCCATATATTGTTCTTTTTTTTTAAGTTTTTTTTTTTTAATTTTTTAATATTTATTTTTTAGTTTTCAGCGGACACAACACCTTTGTTTGTATGTGGTGCTGAGGATCGAACCCGGGCCGCACGCATGCCAGGCGAGCGCGCTACCACTTGAGCCACATTCCCAGCCCCCCATATATTGTTCTTAACAGAGATTTTCTACCTCTTCTTCTGCCAGCTTTGGTTACTTTTTGAGGAGATTATCCTTTTCATTTGAATTGCTCAATTTATTGATAGAAAGTTGTTCTCAGTATCAACTTAAGAAACTCACCACTTTTATCAATCTTTTTAAAGAACAACTTCTTGGCTCTGTTAATTTTCTCTACAGTACACTTGTTTTCTATTTCATTGATATCTGTTTTGTTATTTCTCTTCTGCTTTCTTGAGATCTATGATAAACATTATTTTCTAGTTGCTTTAAATAAAATTTAAATTTTATATAAAAGAGTCCATCCTGTCTTCTAATTTATGTGTAATGCTGTCAACATTCACTTCTATCAATCCATATCATGACCTTCAGTCTCTTTTATGTTTGCATTTCTATCTGAGATCATCTTTTCCTTTTTCTGAAGAACTCTAATAAGTTTTTTGTTGTTTTTTTTTTACATACAGGTTGCTAATAACAATTTCCCTTGGTTTTATGTTTTGGAATAATTAATTTTTTAATATCTTTATTTTCTATTTATCTATGTGGTGCTGGGGATCGAACCTAGGGCCCCGCACATGCTAGGTGAGCGCTCTACCGCTGAGCCACAGCCTCAGCCCCAAATTCACTATTTTTGTGTGTGTGTGCAGATTTTTTTTCTTTATTGAGAAACTTAAGACTTGGGTACATCAAATAAAACCAATTTCAGGGGGAGGCAGGTAATGACCAAATCCCATAGTAGAAAAAAAAATTAACACTGTCTGGGCTATAGTAGAACCCAGAGAATATATTCTTATAATTGAAAAATTCTAGGCATTTTCATAATTGACCTTTTGATACAAAATGACCTAATAAATTTGTAACTTGTGGTTCTTGATGTTGAGGTCCATAGGACAAGCTAGGAAGTCTTCAAACCTTGAGCTGATTTCCACCAGGGGTTATTTGGCTTTTGAACTGGTTTTTCCTCGTCTAAGAGGTAGCAGCAGCAACAGCGCCCACCTTCTGGGCAGCTTCTTTCTTGGCATGATGAGCTTGTAGAACCGCCACAGCTTCATCCACCTTGGAGCGGAGAGACTCAGGGGACTCCAGCATGTGTAGCAGCTCAGAGTTGTCAATCTCCAGCAGCATTCTTGTGATCTTTCCAGCCAGGTTTGAATGCATTGTTTGGATAAGTGGAAACAAACGTTCGCCCAGCATCTGCTTCTGTTCCTGGGGTGGTGCTGCAGCAAGCATGGAGGCAGTCAGGGGCTCTTGCCCCTGCACATGGACTGTAGGCTGGAGTGCCTGCAGAGGCTGTATGGCAGGGTGAGGGCTGTGGACGCTAGAGGCATACTTGTATGGTGCTACAGCCCGAGGAGCAGCAGCAGCAACTGCAGCACGTGGTGCAAGGTTTGGCACAGCTGCCAAATTCACTATTTTTGAAGGATATTTTTTTCTGGTTAGAAATGCTGATTGGCTGTCATTTTCTCTCAGCACTTAAATACGTATCATTTTGTGGCGGGCTGGCTCCCGTTATATCATTTGTTTTTTGAGAAGGTGTCTGTCTTCCATTTCTTTCAAAGTGCCAAGTCCTTTTCTCTTGCTTCTTTAAATTATTTTTCTTCGACTTTGCAATTTTATTGTGACAGATCCAGGAATGTTCTGAGCATATCTTGCTTGGCGTTTTCTTAAACCTCCTGAATCTTCAGGTAGATTTCTCCCTATCAGTCTTAGAATATTCCTGTCCACTATTTCTTTGGAGGTTTCTTCTGCCGTCCTCCCTGCCTCCCCTGGGCCTCCGCGGTGCGTCAGGCCAGGTGCTGTGCATTCTCTGGGCCGTGTTCTGCGGTGGTCCTGTTTTTCCTGGTTCCCTGCGCTTCACCATGGCTCTGTCTACTGAGCTCTCTTCAGGTTCATCACCCTGCGTTCTGCTGGGTCCAATCGCTATCAAGCCCATCCACCATGTCCTTATCTTCACATTATGAATCTAGGCCATCTGTTTCTTCTTTATAGATTCTGATTCTCTAATTCCCCATCCTCTTACCTGATTTCTCCCTTTCTTCTATTTTCTTTAATACAGCAATCCTAACTGTGTTCAAGTCTGTGGATATTAACTCTAAAATCCAGATCGTCTTCAGTCTGCATCAATTTTCTGGCTCTTCTTTTGATCACAATTATATTTTCTTGCCACTTCACATTTTTAGCAATTTGAGATTAGATAATTGACACTGTATTAATCAAGAAGTGACAGATGTGCTTTCTTCTACCCAAGGGAATGCCCTTTCCTCTGTTAGGTGTGAGGGTCCATTACCACACTGAGTTCAGATATCAAGCCAGTTGAGGACCCAGTGACAGCTTCAGTCTATCAGCACTGCTGAGCCTTGAGGGTCGCTGGCCACACAGACCCCAGAGGCTGCAGGAAACCGAGCTCTGCCTGTCCCCATGTAGCTTCAAAGTCTGTCAGAGTCTCAAAGGGAGGCCTAGGGTGTGTCACAGACACGCTTTTGTCTCCTAAGCCTCCCCTGCTGCTGGGGAGCTTTCTGCCCAGATTGCTGCCTCCCCAGAACCTGGCAGGGACGCTCAGCCCCTGGCAACTGGGTTCCCTCCTTCATAAGAGATTCTCTGCCTGGAAAACCGAGCTTTGGACAATCACCGACACCTGCCTGGAATCATCAGCTGTTTCCCAGGAAAAACAGGGCGAGGCAAGATGGCAGACCTTCTCTCTGGAAGAGTTCTCGGCTCTCCCAATTCTGGCTCATCCGACACTCCCTGTCACCATTCCGTGCCTTACAACACACTTTTGCAGCTTACTTTTTTCTACTGTTGCAGTTGGAGAATCGGCCTGCTATGATCTCAGGCATCCTGTGGCAACCTCTCTGTCCCAAAGCAGGAGTCTGGCCCACATTTTTAAAGAGATGTGAAGACAGCCAGTCATGCCTGCACTCTTTAGATCTCTTCCTTTTTTCTATTCTTGCTTTCTTATTTTTTTTTTTAATTAGGGACTAAACCCAGGGCCGTCTGTATGCTAGGCAGGCAATCTACCACTAAGCTGCTGCCCCATCACCTTATGGGTCTCTCCCCACCCCACGCCGTCCCCACATCCCCAGCACCCACCCTGTCCCTCCTACAAGAACCCCATCTGCTGAGGCCCCGCCCCCTCCTTCCTGGCCTGTCCCTCACCTCCCCTCTTGTACCACTTCTCCTCTTCTAAATAGCTCCCCAGAGAGGGCAGGACCTAAGCCTCTGTGTCAAGGCCCATCTTCTCCCCAGAGGATCAGGGAAGCAGTCAACAGCCACCATGAAGCACAAACCAGATGAAGCACCTCCCACCCCAAGCTCACCAACTCACCAAGGGCCACCCACCAAGGTCCCATGACCTCGAGACCCCATTCTCACTAGGAAGCCCACAGCCCAAAAGGCCATGTTCACTGTCTGGATCCTCCCAGGACATGGTTCTGTGCTCTCTGGGTCTCCAGAGAAACCTTCCCTGTCTGGCCATGCCTGGGACCGTCCTGTGCTGGGCAGATTCTAGAGCCTTGGGATGTCCTGCCAGACCCAGGGAGGGGGCTGCAGGGAACAGGGCCACCAGCCTCACCACATCCAGGAGCAGGGCCCCTGGAGGAACAGCTGGGTGTCCAAGGCCACAGGCCAGGGAGGCCCTCAGAGGACTCACGGTCATGGCCTTCATGCCACTGCTAGCCCTCACTGCTGGGCCCTGTCAGCTTGGGGAGGCCACTGGGCAGAGACCTCAGTCACACAATAGAACGTGTGCAGTCTCAGAAGGGCTCCAACACAGCAGCACAAACCTTGCAGCCAACAACTAAAGACCACAACCGACTTGTGGGCACCGGAGGGGAGTGTCAGGGTGTAGGAGAAGAGAGGGCCAGCCATGAGTGCCTGGTGCCTGCAAGGTGGGCAGAGTGAGGCTCCGCACTTGGACCACTCAGCTAGAGAGGCCCAGTGGGGACCAAGAGCAGGCTGGTTCTGGCCACCACGAGGCCACGCAGCACGCGGGAGACTGGGAGAGGCTGAGCACTGGGCTCAGCCCCTGCTCCTCCCGCTCTGCCTGCCGCCAAGTCCCACCTGATTTTCCGTAGCAACGAATGGAAGGGACGGAACAGCTCGGACATGTCCTCCACCTTGCGGTCCAGGTTCAGGGGTCCATCCGCATAGACCACGAGGCCACTGCAGTTGAGACACAAAGCCAGTGTGGTTAGCCCTGAGGGCCTGGTAAGCTGGGACCCCAGCCTCACACCCTGTGGCTGGCCCAACACTGGTCAGCACAGCCTGGGCCTGGGCCTGCGCCTGGGTCAGGTCCTAAACAAGTTTAGAAAAAGGCAATTAAAGTTATTACCCAGACATCACCATCCTTGAAGTTCATTAGCTTGTGTTCATGGGAGTAGTCATAAAATAATCAAAAGAACATACTTGTACCCATCAGCATTGCAATCAGAGAAATTAGCATCAAGGTTTGCTGGGAAAACCTATCTCCTTGGAAACAGAAGAACTGGAGTTGTGTTTGAATTTGTCTATGGAGGCTTATGAGAGGCAGCCCCAACCTGTCTACCCCAAAAGCAAGTTGGAGAACGGAGGCCCCATGTGGGTCACCCCTCGCCACCACCTCCACCTGGGGAAGCTGTCCCCTAGAACAGTGCCCATGGCCCAACAGGCCCGCCCTGCCAGGACTGGGCTCTCTGCCCGTCACTTCCTGGCACTCTGCTGAGTGCCTGCTGAGGCCAGCCTTGCTCAGTGCCCCCTAGGCAGCCCCAATTCCATGGCAACACGTTTGCTCCCACAGCCCACCAGGCACTGTGCAGCCTGCCCAGCTCCAAGGGCACCTCTGTCAGCATCTCAGGAAGCTGCCACCATAGCTGCTGCCCCCCAGGGCTTGGGGACGCAGGCACCACACTCCTTCAGGCCACAGCCAGGTGCAGGCCTTTCCAAGGAGGAGGAGGGCAGTACCTAGAGCCAGGCCGGCAGGCATGGCCACACAGAAGGCCCACCAGCCCAGGCGAACCCGGGAGGGAACGTCTGGAGATGGGTCAGGCCCAGGCCCCACCGGCCAGTCTGTCTGTCTGTCTTTCTTTCTTTTTAGCTTGCAGATGAAACTCACACAGCACACACTTGACCGGCTCCAGGTGCACGGTGGTGCCATTGAATAAGCTCCCATGCACTGCGCTCACCTGCTCCAGGTCTCTTCAACACCCCAGAAGACCTCCTTCAGCACCCCACCATCCCCTGGCCTCGGGCAACCCTGGTCTACTCTCCACCTCTAGGGAATCACCTGTTCGGGACACTTCCTGCAATGGAATGACGGGCAGGTGACTGTATAAGTCTGGCTGCCTTCACTCAGCACCACGTGTCAAGGTCCCTTCATGTGTCAGTGTTTCGTGGCCCTTACAACTGAGTCACGTCCGCTGTGTGCACCACATCTTTACCCATTCATCCCAGTGACCGCTGGGTGGTTTCCTCCATAAACGACAGTGTGTGAGCGTGGTGTGCTTACATTTCTCTTGGGGATGTGCCTAGCAGGGTAGTGTCACCACATGGGTCACGCAATTGTGTGTTCACAGAACCATCTAACTTTTATCCACAGCGGCAGCACCACTTCACACTCCCGCGGGCAGCACACCTGGATCCCTGCTCTTCCATATCTCCTTCTTTCAGTGTTCTGTATTGTGGCTGCGAGCTTCCCTCCACCTTCCCTCCACCCTCATGTTCTGGCTCACCTCAGGCCAAGACCAAGGCAGCTGACTGACCATGGACTGGATCCACTGAAACAATGAGCCAGGATAAAGTTTTCCTTTCCCAAGTTGTTTGTATCAGGTAATTTGGTCACAGAAATGAAGAGCACAGACAGAGAGAGGAGCATTTAAGGATCTGGTTGACAAGGCCAGAGAGCCTGGCAAAATTTGCAGGGCAGGCCAGCAGGCAGGCTAGAGACTCGGAGAAGAGTTGACAGTGTCGCGAGTGCCAAGCCTTCTAAGGAGAATGCTCTCTCACACAGGGGATTTCAGTCTATTTCCCTATGTCCTTCAACTTAAAGATGAGGACCACCACAGTGTGGAGGGCAATCTTCTGTACTCAAAGTCTACTAATTTAAATGTTAATCTCATCTTTAAAACGCCTTTACAACAACATCCAGATGGTATTTGGCCATCTAAGTGGGTACTGAAGGCTCGCCAAGTTGAGACATAAATCTAGCCATCTCTGGGTCCAACTCTGTTATTTGCATGAGACCATCTGGTTGTCCCAGCAGGGGAATGTCCTTTCATAAGTGAATGGTCTTGGTGCCCAGGTCAACTGGCCACAGACGTCTGCATTTGTTTCTAGACTCTCAGTTCTATTCCACTGGTTTTCAATCTACCCTAAAGCCAGCGCCTCACCTTGTTTTTCTGTTTTGATATTCTTACGCTCATTCAGGCCACTGAAGTCCATCTGAATTTGAGGAACAGCTTTTCCATTTATGCAAATGGGCGGGGGGGGGGTGGGGGTGGTGGTAGGATTTTGGTAGGGATTGCATAAGATCTGTAGATCAATTTGAGGAGTCTTGCCATCCCAACTAGACTGTCTTCCCATCCATGAACGTGGGCTATCTTTCCATTTTAGTAGATCTTCCATTTTTCACCAATGCCTGGTGATTTTCAGTATTCGTGTCTTTCACCTCCTTGGTTAAATTTATCCCAAGGTATTTTATTCTTTTGAATGTTTTGGAAATCTCATATTTAAAAGAACACTTAACCATATACAATGTATTATTACTCAGCCTCAAAAAGGAAATTCTGACACATGACAACATGGGCAAACCTTAAGGCCACTATGCTAAATGAAATATGGCAGTCATAAAATGTGATTGCACTTATGGAGGACCCTAGGATAATCAAATCCATAGAGACATAAGGCAGGATGGTGGTTATCAGAGACCAGGGAGAGAAGAATGAAAGTTAGTGTTTAGCGGAGACAGAGTGTCTGTGGAGAAGGAAGCAGGATGGTGGTGACTGTTGCACACAATGTAAATGTCCTCAATGACACTAAATTGTACACCCAGAAAGTTTTAAAATGATAGATTTTATGTTATTCTTATATTACCATAATAATGGAAGAAATTTAGTGCTTTGCATTCTGTTTCCACAAGCTTCATCTGTTAAGAAATTTTGAAGATGTACAGTAAAGACGGTGGCGCTACATGATGGCAGGCTAGAGGGAGGTTGCGTTTCCAGTGGCTCCATGGCTGGGGATCCAAGCAGGGGGAGTGTTGCTCTCAGTGAGGTGGGTGAAAGAGGGAATTCACTCAAATTCAATATCGGACAGTCAGTCTCTTAGAGACTCAGAAATTCGGTGCATTAAACCAAGAACAAGAAAGAGCACGTTGGGGGCAGTGGCACATGTCTGTAATCTCAGAGGTTCAGGAGGCTGAGGCAGGAGGATCATGAGTTCAAAGCCAGCCTCAGCAAAAGAGAGACCCTGTCTCTAGATAAAATACAGAAAAGGGCTGGGGATGTGGCTCAGTGGTTAGTGCCCCTGAGTTCGATCCCCCCCACCCCACCCCCTCAAATAAGAAAGAGCACATTGGGGCCAAGCTGGTTGCAGCAGCAGCAAGGCTGGTTCACCAAGGTGAGGGAAAACACGGAGAGAAGCACAATGGACAGATCTGGCACAGGGAAACCTGCAGATCCCACAGCAGCCTGGACTCGGGATCCAGAGGCGGCACAGTAAACTGGTTGGCCACGCGCCCTGTTTCCCAACCTGCTGCAGAGAGTGGAGGCAGGAGCCTCGCTGCAGCTTGCTGCGGGAGCTGGGAGCGCGTAGCCAACACTGCCCTGTTGTCCTGGCAAGCGCCTACAATGTGGCCTAGGGTGTACCTAGCAGAACACAAGTGACGCGGCACAGAGAAGACTGTACCCAGGGGAGCGTGAGTCAGAAAGGAGGAGAGTGCAGCTCACTTTCCCTTGGAGCCTGGGGGCTCAGGTGACCAGCTGAAGAGGGCCGGGAACCCAGACCTGTTGATGGGACATACGCTCAGGGACTAAGCCTGGGAAGACTGCGTCTTGGGCAGTACCGTGTGGGACCTGAGAGGAATGGCTCACCTGTCCCTGAAGTAGAACCCGCAGGAGCTCCTGAGATCCAGACTCCCAGCAGAGCCCGGCATCTGTGAAGGCCTAAGGTGGGTTGGTCTAACCTCTCCAGAACAGATACCACCCAAAGGTCCCAAAGGCTGATTAGTCCTGATCCCTATCACCAGAACTTCCCTCTTGGGACTTGCAGCAGCTGCACCCTGGGAGTGCACTGATCTGGTCTCTAGACAAAACTCAACAGTGCCTCCCAGTCTGACCACCTCAGTGGAGAAAATTCTTTCATTTTTCAGGAAGAATCTTTTCCTGTGTGGGTGTGTGTGTTCTCGATATGTTGATTAGTTTTTGATTATCTACATATAATCACAAATAATTAGGTGTATTTATAATATATATATTTATATTATGTATATGTTATATATGTTTGTATTATATATAAATATACATAATAATATATATTTCTTTTTATCTTGTTTTTAGCATTTTTTAATGATGCTGTTTTCCCTTGTCTTTTGAAAGTTAAGGGGTTTTGTTTATTTGGGGTTTTTTTGTTTCTTTGTTTTGTTTGTTTCTCGTGTTCTTTCTTGCTCATTTTACTTTTTTCTATTTTCTTCTTCATAAACATCAATTACTACATCTTTTCTGCATTTTCTCTGTCACATTTTGAATACTCTAAAGTTTCTTCTACCTTCCTATCACATTTTTATCTTAATGAAGTATATTCTTCCCATCTTTTAGAACTCTTTGGTTTACATAACTCCTTCGCCACCACTCATGCTGTGGCTTTTGTTAGTACTGCGGATTGTTGACACCTGCTGTCCAACACCATCTGGTTCAAGACTACGTAGTACTTTTGCTATTGGCGATTGCTGACCCAGCCATTCCTGTTATGTGGTGGTTGGGGCTGCAGGTGTCCCACTGGGTATTTATTTTAATGTCGTATATTGTTTCTTCAGTTGTTGCTATTGTTTGTTTCCCCTCTCTGTGAGATTCTGGGAAGGTACAGGGATGAACAAGTTCACACAGAGAGACAGCTGGAAACTAAACCAGCCAACAGACAGTGCACCTTCTCCACACAAACCACACTCAGACTTCAGTAACACTTTAATACGA